GGCCGCTCAACCGACTGAGCCACCCAGGCGCCCCTAGAACAATTTTTTAATTGAGTTCCCTTCTTTGTCTTTTTTCTGCTCTTCTACTCTTTCTTTTTCTTTTCCTTTGTGTACTCAGATCTAATTATTTGTGGTTGGTTAATCAGAATCGAGCACAGTTTTAGACTTTATAAAATCCCTTGAAGATTTTGCAGTGGATATTACAAAAAACATGTTTTGTTCCGGTTCCTCCTATTTCCACTATGTTTGAGAATTTGATTATTGTCTGAAGGAGATTAAAGGGAAAGGGACAATATTGTGAAGGCTGTTATCTTCCACTCTGGGGAACCATTTGAAGAACTGGAGCGGGTTCCTGAGGATGTGTCTCCCCCCCAACCCCTGAAAGTGCCGGATAAAGTGTGTCAAGCTCTTTTGCCATCTCTGCTTTTTTACTGCATCATGCTGATGATATTATAGCACTACCCTCTCTTCAACATGCTCTGCATCATATGTTGGCCTTTTTAGGATTTATAAAATAAACATTTTATATTAATTACATTTTAGGCCGACTTTTTGCTGGTAACTTTGAGGGAGGCTTTTTAATTTCACTAGTAACAAGTGTCCCACCTACACCTTGGTGTGAGTCCTTCTGGTGAGGTTTCCTAGAGGAAGCTAATTTCGTCAGTAATATGAAAACCTCAGCTCAGAAGTTCTTTCCTTTTAAGCCTTGAGGCTTTTTCTTACCTTTTGGCTTTTGGCCTTTATCCACAGATTTCATTAAGATTTTTGGAGCAAGACCCAAAGCTCTTTTCCTCCCTTTCTAATAAAAGCAACTTATTCATTATTCCTCTTAAGCTTTTACAAAATTAAATTTTTTCTTTTTTTACCTTTTAAGTGAGTTAATTAAAATTATTTTTATATAGCCATTTATTTTACAGTATTTATTCGTCTTTACTCGGTGCAGGGCACCTGGATACTTCCTGAATATGCTACAAAGATGTATGAGTTATAGATGATTGTGTGTCCAGGGAATTAACATTTGGGGAAAAACATGGAATAGGTACATAAGAATAAATGGTTTGATGTCAAAAAATGAGAATTGCTATTGCAGTTTGATTTTTGATGAGAAATTTGACTATTGGATAAGATGAAATTTCCAGCGAAAGTATTTCTATTCACTGTTTGTTTTTCTTCTTAGATAATGGCTCTGGATCTGGAGAAGGAGGTAAGTTTCAAGTACCCCTTAAAGGACATTTGTTTTCTGTCATTTTCTGATTTTTACAGCTTTATTGAGTTAAAATTCACACAGTGTACAATTTGCTCATTTAAAGTGTGCCATTCGGTTGCTTTTAGTATAGTACAGAGTTGTGCATTCATCACCACAGTCCATTTTAGAACATTTTCGTTACTCCAGAAAGAAGCCTTTAGCCATTACACCCAACCCTTCTGTCCCTTTTAGCCCTAGGCATTTTGTTTCATACAATTATGTCTCACTAAAGCTTTGTTGACAAACAAGGCAGAAATGTAGCTCCTGTTAAATTGAGATTGCACCGAAGTGCCTTCTCCTTGGGATCATCCACACAAGTGATTTTGGGTTGGACCAGAGTATTTGTAACTCTCCCACCCCTTGCTTACAAATTTTTGCTCCTAAGGAATTTTCAAGGTGCTGGGTTGTAAAACTCTGGAGTGAATTGTGCATGGCAAAGAGAAGGCTTACAGAATAATTGTAGTGGAATCTAGACTTTATGCCATTAAAATTCTCCTGTGTATGTTTTTGATTTTATTTTACAAATATATAAATTATTTCTGCTGTTTAAAAAAGTAGTATCTGGTAATAGTGTATAGCAAGAGTTTAAATTGTCAGAATTAAGAATGGCTCATTTATTTCATAGTCTAATGAAGCTGTAGGACTTAGTGAGTGTCTACTGTATACAAAGTAATGCTGGAGGTACTGTGGGGATACCTACACTGAAAGAAAACTTACTCTAGTAAAATTCACACTCATACAAATGAAAACTACAGTTATGATCCTTTCAATGCTATCTGAAACCTTATTCCAGATTTCCACATTTCGTAGAATCCTAAAATATCAGAGTTGGAAGGCACTTCAAAGGTCACTTAGAGAATAGAAGAACCATCCTGAGGAAGAAGTTTGGGGATGAAAGTTTCAGGGAAAAAAAAAAAAAAAGATTAAAGTTATCCTACAATAGAATGTGATTTAAAGGGACATGTTCAAGCAGAAGCTTCATGATCACATGTGAAGGATCAGACCATCAATTCTAGGTCTTAGAACTGGAAAGGATTTTAAGAGAGATCATGTAGTCTAGTCTTTGTGGTCAGATATTCAGTAAGGAAACAGTCATGTTTCCATACCAAAGAAGTGGAAGTTGATGTCATGATTTTTTTTATGTCATGTAAATACTGGATGTCTTGCTCTGAGAATGTAGGTTGACTATTTCTTTTCAGGGAGTATGAGTTTAGAAAGGCTAAGTCGTTTGCTCAGATTAGCGTACAAACTTAAGTGAGCTTGTGGTGGCCATACGATTTCCTGATGTTTCTGAAGCCTCGGAAATAATAGGATTATGATCCCTGGAATCTGGGAGTGTTCATGAGAATTTGGGAAAGATTTCTACTTAAAGTGCATGCAGACACTAAAAATGGAAAGTTTGAAAGTATTACCAAATAGGTGTATTAGGTTTTTGGACTTGCCTTGTAATGTCTTCTTTACTGATAGACACCCCCTGAAGAAGGTGTTATTTCCTAAACCAGAATGAGAGATCCTTTGAGTAAACTGTAATCCCTAAATTGGCTTCAGAACAGATCTCCCTGCCCAGTTTGAGATTATCAGGGTAGGATTCATTCTAGTTGAGCCCAGAATGTAGAATCCCTTGAATGTGGGATATGAGTTGGAGACTTACTGGTAACCACTGGTTTTTTGTGCCAGATCATAGGAGATCCACACACTTCTGCATTCTGGGTATTTTTGGTATGCTAAGTGGGCAAACAGAAAAGGAGGCAAGTCCTTTGTAAAGAGACCCCTTTCCTTTTACAAATTTGGAGATAAATATTTTTTTTGAATCCTGTTAGTTATGTAATAAGAAAGGCAGGTATGAAACTGATGTGAGGAACAAATGGTTATGCTCTATTGCATTTAATCATTTATTTGTTAACTGGCATTGCATAGGGTAAGGTAATCACTGTACCAAATTTATTGCTCATGTTTTATTTTCTCTCTCTCTTATTTAATGTTATATGGTAATTCTTTTAAAGGCAATTAATTATCAAAACCTGTAGTGTTCTTTCGTACATAGATTAAGGGATTATTTTGCTAGTACCAATACTTGTTTTCCTCATAGAATATGTTGTACTCAGTATTGGCAACATTTTTGGATGCAAGCATTGATAGATTTTGGAACTGATTGTTTTCAAGAGCGCAGGTACATTTTCCGCAGAAATGGGATAATGGCTGCTGAAAACATGAAGCTTATCTGGAAAGGAAACCAACTTTTGGTTGAAAATTTAATTTTTCTTTTTAAGCAGAAGAGGAAGGGTCAGGGGCAGAAGTTCACAGAAAACACTCCAAGTGTGGACCTTGCAAATATAAAGCTGAGTGTGATGAAGATGCAGAAAATGTTGGGTGAGTTGATTGAGGGAAAGGGATGCACTTATGTGGAGGTTAATCAGTACTGTTCTATTGTAGAGAGGTATCTTTTAACCTGGTTCTAGATATTTCGTGTGTGCCTTCTTTATTTTTTTGTTTACTGCTGGTCTGTTGACTTTCTTATGTTGATATAATATCATAGCTCTTTAAATTAAAGTGTTATATTTTAGAATGAGACTCCACATATAATATTTTCAGTTTTACCTGTCTTTATTTTTGATCGTTTTATATATTTTATGCTAAGTGCTAATTTTATTCATCAAAAATACCCTTATTCTGAATTATCCTACCATTATACTTTCTAACAGTATCAATAAGTTTTTCTTTTGCTTAACTTGCATTTTTACACAGAATTTTTCATATATTTCAATGTGTTAAGAAAAATCCAAAATTGCTTCAAAATTTTAGATACAGTAATTATTATACATAAGTAAAAAATATTTTTATAAATCCTAGTTGTACAGACTGACATTATATTGTTTTATTTTCTCACTAATGTTCAGCCTTCAGGATTGTGGGTTTTGTAGTTGGACAGCATTGTCTGTCCAATTTCCACATGGGTTTGGTCGAATAGTAATGATACTGACATCATCAACATAGCCATGTTTGTTTCTTCTTTTCATCAGATTCCTGTTTGTTTATTCCAGTCTCAGACTTTCATTTCCCTGTGGTGTTTGCTTTTTGCATAGTTTTTTTTTTTTTTTTTTAAGTATATTTGTTTTGAGAGGGAGGGGGAGAGAGAGCATGAGTGTGCAGAGGAGGGGCAGAGAGAGCATCTCAAGCAGGCTCCATGATGATGCAGGGCTCAATCACAGGGCTCAGTCCCACCACCACAAGGTTATGACCTGACCCAATACCAAGAATATGATGCTCAACTGACTGAGCCACCCAGGCGCCCCTGCTTTTTCCATAGTTGATTCTAAAAGCTTTAATGCTGACTTCAGGACCTTATAGCACAAATTGATCTTCACTTCCCCAATTACCCCTTAGCGCATATTTTAAAACATTTATTTTGTAGAGATTTGCACTTTCTTCCTTACACATATTTTCACTGTGTGTTTTCTGGTCCCATGTTTTATTCAGCCCTAAACATATTCAGGTCTCTCACTGAATAGGAGTAATATGGTTTAATTAACAACCCAAAGTGAGTTTTATAAGTCAAGATGACACCATTTTCAGGATTATGGTTCAAAATCAGCTATTTGGGTATGTGATAAAATTGAAGTGTGATAATTTACTTGATATATCAGAGTTGGTGAGAACTGGCACAAGTTCAGTAAAAAATGAATTCTGTATAACTACAATTTGCTCTGTTTCTACATGTTGGTCACTTGGATTGACATGTGTCCATTCATTTCAGTATGAGTGATTTGATTAGGAAGAACATGTTTTGCAAAGTAGATGTGGGTCTATAGAGCAATGAGAGATATAGACTTACAGAGAGAAGAGATAATAGATGTTATGTTCTCTTCTTCTCACTTTGTGCTAATGATATGGCACGATGAAACGCTGTTGGGTGTGTGTGTGTGTTTGTAGAGATTTAGTTCTTTTTAGTGTTTTCTCTCAGGACTGTTACATAAAGGTATTCAGAGTCAAAATAGTTGTCAGTGATTGATTGGCTTGGTCCATTGATCTGTTTCTATTCCTTTGATGGTACCTCTGTTCAGTCAGTCCTGCTTTAGTCATTTATCTGCTCTTATTTTTCATCCCTTAATTGAAAGAGATAGAGATCTTTTGCTTAGAAGTAGAACAGATTCCATTTAGTCTCAGAGGCAGCCCCAAATATGACATCTATGGTAAAATACACATCTTTCTATGTACACCACCTCATGATATGACATATACTCTATGCCCAATTAGGGCAACTCCCTTGTATGTACTAAATTCATTTTGTGTGTCTATTTGAGAGCTTGGAACCACTGTTTTTGCAGATACAGGCTTTAAGCATAAGAAAGTGGGTACAGACCACGGAAGAGCTTACCAGTAGAAAGGAGCATGCAATCCGAGGAGACAGCCAAGGAGCACATAGACTGGGACAGGCAGCCAAGTCCAGGCCGGGAAATCAATGCAAAGAATAGGAAAACATTAAGGAAGCAATTGAAAGCTTTACCTAGAGAAGTCATTAAACTAAAATGGTTGATCCTACTAGGAAAGGAGACAGAAGGAAATTTTAGGAACATTAATCTTTGAGTGTATAAAATACTTCTTACTGATTGCAGTTGAGCTTAACAATTTAGATGTATCTCAATGGTTATTGTAATTTTTTTTAAAAAACTTTTAAATGGGCATGGTATCAAGAAAGTTATACGGAGGTTATTTAACTCCTTCAGAGCACCTTCTGTGTCTTTTCGTGGTTACTTCCACGTGAATACTGACATGTTTGCCTAAGGGTAGTTTTGGCCTAGCCAACCAGACCTTTTCAAGTAAGGAAATTTGAGAGATGCCCAGATGTGGTAGTAGCCATCAAGCCTTGATTAGGAAGATGTAATATAATTTTTAAATTAAAAGATAATATTGTAGTTATTAAATACAAAAGGTCTTACTTACAGAACAAGTACTCATGTCATGTTTTAATTATTATAAACTCTACCAGAATCAGAGAATGTTGAGTAGGATCTTAAAATTTTTTTTTAAGTTTATTTATTTATTTTTGAGAGAAATAGAGAGAGTGTGAGCAGGGGAGGGACCGAGAGAGAGAGAGAGGGAGAGAGAGAATCCCAAGCAGACTCCATGCTGTTCGTGAAGAGCCCGACTTGGGGCTCATTCTCATGAACCATGAAATCATGAGCTGAGCAGAAATCAGGGTCAGACACTTAACCGACTGAGCCATCCAGGT